GATTTAGTGGGATATAAGACTGCAGTGTTTATGTATAAAGCCAGGAGCAATTTATTACCTGGTGGAATTCAAAAACTATTTAATGAAAGGGATGGGGGATACAATTTAAGGGGTCAGTTAAATTTAAAAATTCATGCTATACGTACAACCAAAAAAAGATTTTGTATTTCCATAAGTGGGGTAAAACTATGGAATAATTTAAGTGTGGACATAAAAAATAGTAATAGAATTGACGAGTTTAAACATAAATATAAAGGTATGTGTCAATCAAGATATATGCAAGAACAGGCTCAATGATTAATTAGATGGAACATTGTGGGTGTGGTGTATGAATGTTAACACTCTGTAATAATTCTTTAGTATATTACTTGTGTGGTGTAGAAGATAATTATTTGTGTAGAGATACTGCTTAGGACATAAAAGTTGTAAGATGATGTCATGGGGTAGGACTGGATAAGTCTGACTTCTTCCTACTCCCTTCAAACATGTTCTAGGTATAAGCAAATTGATATTGGATTAGCATTTGTTGGATATGTGTGAAATTACATGTGTTGACATATCAACTGTTTTACATGTTTGAAAGAATAAATCAAATCAAATAAAAAAATACTGAGCTTCCTACTTGTCCACGCACTGACGCGCACAACTGTGTATTGTTAACTGTTGTGTGATGAACAGTAACAGTTCAGTGTGACAGTGGCTCTGTTCTCTCTGTAATTTGTGCCACATTACATCATTGTTTCCAGAAAACGTTTGTAAATTATTAAGCACATTTTTCTCAGTCTGTCTCCTTTTTAAGAGAAACATCATTGTGAGTCCAAGTGGCGACACATCCTTATGTGATTATTTCCCTGCCTATGGGCTGTATGGGCCGGCCGGTCTGAGCGCACATGCTCAGTGAGGATACTCTGGCGCACAGAAGCATTTAAGAGCGCGGCTGCTGGAGGCAGACGGCAGCAGAGAGACTGGAGAGACGCAGACACACGACAGGAGGAGAGTGGACCTGAGAGCTGCGCGTCTCAAACACATGAACCGACACAGCCGCGGACCCGGCTCTGTGCTGGGCACCCGGAGCTAGGCGCATGAAACGGCGCCACACGGCTCTACTCACAACTTCTCCTCCATAGACTCGTTTTTATTTTCTCGTTGTTTCACTGGCATCATGGTGCTGGGCAAAGTGAGGGTCTTGGCGATCTGTTTCGACAGTCTGAATGAGAACAACCTGCCGGTGTTCTCCGGTGGAGACCTGGTGTCAGGGAGGGTGGTTGTGGAGGTTACCGGGGATGTGCGGGTGAAGAGCCTGGACATAACAGCGAGAGGAGTCGCCAAGGTCCGATGGACAGAGTCCAGAAACTCCGGGACCAACACAGCTTACACTCAAAACTACACAGAGGAGGTGGAATACTTGAACCATTACGACACGTTGATAGGAGGAGAGAGAGGTAAGGAGTTTGTCATAACCGCTGTGTTGTCGCAGTGTATGAAGTGATGTGGGTCGGCTGCAACTTTTCACAGACTGATTTATGATAGAAAACTTTAGGAACACAGAGGGTGCAGGCAGGTGTCCGACCAACCCTCAGAGCCCCAGAACATCCAGTCCATCAGTGACAGCGGTGCTGATGCAGCAGCTGACGCGGCGTCTTCCCTCACTTCTAATGAGCGCATGAGTTATTAAACCAGACATTTTCATAAGCATCAAATAGGTTTTTGAGCTCAGTGATGGGGGATAAACACAGCCTGCTGTGCACGAGCTGCATCCTGGCATTTGGCATCATGCTCCAGGAGAAAGTTGCGATGTATCAAACACTTCACGTAAAAGTAGGACTCGATCCAAAATCGAGTGATGTTTCATGTTTGGGGCAACATTCACGTAAACCTGATGAGGAATTAACATTTGTACTCATGACATCCTGAAGTAGGCTAGCGAAGGCAACTCCCTTTGTTAGAAGCGGTTCAAACCTGTTCAGAAACTGCCAGAGAGAGAGCGGGAGGAGGGAGGGAGGGGAGGGAGAACCAGACTGGCTGCGAGTGTTATGTGTGGGGGGATAATGTGTCAGCTGCTGGTTAAGCCTCCCAGCACGTCCTGTGCTGGTTCTGCTTGGTTTTACTGGCAAAACCCGAAGCAAACGAGTGAAAGGACAGTTTGATGTGGGGATCTCATGTGGGTCAGGCTGTTATTTTACCTCCTCTGGACTTTAAACAGATGGTTTGAGTTAGAGACTGAAAGACACGTTTGGACTGGCCATCATCATCATCATCATCATCATCATCATCATCATCATGGAGGATTTGTCATCAGCAGCCACTTCTTTCTGAGGAGGACTGCTGCCTGCAGTCTGACCAGGCTCCATGCATCCTGTCAGGATGGATGGAGGACACAGTCGGGGGTCAGAGGTCGAGATGAAAGGACATGACATGGAGAGATGGTGCAGCTTTTCCCAGACCTCCGTCGTGTTACCAGCAGCTGCTTCACTTTCAGATGAATTTGTTGAATCTGCAGACTTGATGAAACCACGTCGCCGTCAAACTGTGTCCATTCTGTGGCTGTTACTGGAGCTTTCGGTCGAATTCCATGATCTTCCTCAGCAGCAGATGGAGTTTGCCCGTTTGTCATGAAATTGTAAATGTTCAGTTAATTTTTTAAATAAAAACTTTAGAGAGTCTGTTAATCCAGGCCGATTGGCTGATATTATTTTACTGAAGCCATATCACTGTATTCGTCGGCCCATGGGGAGATCATGGTGTCGGGTTGTTCTTTTTAAAGTAACGATTTGCTGGTTCCAGCTTCTCAAATGTGAGGATTTGATTATTTTCTTTCTTCTCTGATTGTAAATTAAGATGTTTTCCATATGAAATTACAATTAAATCACTATATTTTCTGATATTTTATTGACAAACTGGTTAAGTGAATAAATAAAAGCCCCATCGATTGATAATGGTCATTTATAAATAGTGGCACATGTTTTAATAATTGTTCCACTGTGACATGTTGTGCTCAGTGTGAGTCTTGGTCACGGTTTACATAACTAGAGATTCTAAAGGATTCATCTCAAGATTTATTTGAAAAGAAGAACCATGTAGTATCATTCTCACAGTTTAAATTTCCAAATGTCCGTGTCAGAACGTATTGTTGGAGTCCCCTCTAATAATTGTTTTTATTATCAGTTCATCTCTAGAATAGTCACATCTTCAGCTGTTGTGTTTAATCTGAGCCTCAGCTCGAAACACAAACACATCCAGTTTATTATCACATAAGACAAAGAGCAGCAGCAAATCATCATGTTTCAGACTGAGAATGTCTGGAAGCAAATCACTTAATGTTTAATTGACTAGTTGGTTCATTTTCTGTGACTGAATAAAATTAGTTCATTTATTTCCTTCAGCTTTTTAGACAACACTGTATTTTAACAGCCCGTCTGCTGAGAAAGACCATGACAGTAGGTCAAAAGCTCCAGAAACTAAATGGACCTGGTGGATTATTTGTAGTTTTCAAGAGTGAACCTTCAGTCTTAACTCCTTTTTGTAACACAGTGGGAAACATGATGAAATAAGATGCTGATGATGAGCTCGACCCTTGTTACTGATGTTGAAGAATAAACTGTTTCACTCCTTTTGTCTCTTGTCATTTACTTCATTCAAGTCTTTACGTGCAAGTTGCACCTGGAGCTCACTGTGAGAACCTTCCTCCCTCCTCTTCCTCCCCCTCTCATGCCACACACCACATGGTTGTACTAACGTGGGCGGGGGCTTGTCGTGGCTGCACCAATCAGAGCCCAGCCTGTGGTACTCATCACCTTCTCGTCCAATGGGAGGCCGAGTTGTAATGCTTGCGTTGGAGTTTCCAGCAGAAGGAAGCTGCTCTGTCTGGTTCATACCGGTCTATGCCTGCTTGCTCTGTGTTGCCGGTGGCTTGACAGGGTGCACGCTCCTACGTGCACAAGCACACACACAGTCCTGGATGCAGGCTGTTTATGACATCTCAGACACATAAACACAAAGTCAGACAGAGAGAGAGCAGAGATGCAAGGTGACACAGAGCCAGTGCTGAGGCGGCAGGAAGCTCAGCTTCATGTTTAAAACATACAAACAGTAACTGAAGAAAGAGGAAGCTGACAGAGGTCATGTCTTCTCCTGCAGGGTGTGTTGTTTCAGCAGCTCTTCACTACGCCTGTTGACAGCGCACCTATATTGCTTACTTCTGCATTCAAGCAGAGGAACGGAGCCAGGGGGCGAATTGTTCAAACTGTTGGTGGCTTTATCTTATCCAGTGTCGACACTTTGGGCGTTCTATAACGTCATGCTTCCTCTTTTTCTTTCCACTTCCTGTAGTCTCAACATACAGATGTTGACAAGTGAAAAGAGACTCAAGAATAACAGTGAAGACACAACCAGGAGGGCCACTGATCAATCAGCTGATCCTGATTGATCAGTTTGTCCCCAGAATGTCAGACACTGGGAAAACATCCCACTGTGACTCTCCAGAGCCAAAGATGGCATCTTCACACGTCTCGTTGTGTCCAACCAGCAGATCCACAGAGACTCAGCTGATTCTCATGTCTGACAAAGAAAAGCATCAGCTCCTCACATTAAAGAAGGTGGAACCAGAACATGTCGGTGACTGTTGCTTCTAACTAGCTGCTGGTTAATTTTCTACCAGTGGGTCGGACACCGTGAGGGGATCTCCTCTGACAGAGCAGACCTGACAGGAGAATTCCCTCCTCATCTGTATTTTACTTTCTGAAATATCACCAAGTTTCCCAAAATGAAGTAGATGTAAATCAAGCTATCAATCTGTTTGTGTTTTCTAATCGCACTGTCAGAAACGACATTTCTGACTGTCTTCTCCTGACAAAGGGAACATTCTTGTGCATACTTTTCATTACACACCTCCTCTGAGGTGCTGAGTGGCGTGCACGGAGTGATGTGTGTTAACAGAACAGTGCAGAGCGCAGGTGCATGTGGAAACCTGTGCTTTGTGTTTCAGATGAGGACAGTCCAGAGGAAGGCCTGACTGTTCTGCACGCCGGCTTACACGAGTTCGCCTTCAGCTTCAACCTCCCTCAGATGTGAGTACTAAGTACATTTACTCATTTAAGTGCCATTTTGAGGTACTGTACTAGAATATTGCCATTTTTACAACATTATATTTCTACTCCACCAGGTTTTAGGGTCAATAATGTTTTTACAGCACCATATTTATCTGAGAGCTGCAGTTATTTTAAAGATAAAAATGACAGAAACAGTCCAACAACTGTGTATAAAGAGGTTAAATCCAGCTCCACCTGGAGCAGCTGAAGCTTTGATGCATCAGGATTAATCTACACTGCTCCATAGACTATCAGTGACAGGACACGTTGCTGTAGAACAAGTACTTTTACTGTTGATATTTGTACATGAAGCTAATAATGCTTCTATATTTAAAATAGATTTTGAATGTAGAACCTTTTTTGTACTGGAGTGTTTTACATTGTTGCATCAGTACTTTTACTCTACAGACAGTCTGAGTACTTCTTCCACAAGTGCACGCACACTCAGTGACACCTCACACTTCCTAATCCTCTTTTTCCCGCCGCCCTTCCCCCCGTCTCTCAGGGCTCTGGCCACTTCCTTTGAAGGGAAGCACGGCAGTGTGAGGTACTGGGTGAAAGCCGAGCTGCACCGTCCGTGGCTGCTCCCTGTCAGAGTCAAGAAAGAGTTCATTGTGTTCGAGCACATCGACATCAACACGCCACTGCTGCTGGTAGGCGCCCTGCACACACCGGTCGTCTTTTAAAGGAATAGTGCCACATTATGGAAAATACAATGATTTGCATTCTTGGTGAAAGTTATTAGTGCCACTGTCATGTCTGGATGGTGCACGTGAAGCTCCAGCCAGCAGCAGGTTAGCTTAGCATACAGACTAGACCCAGGCTGGCTTGGCTCTGTCCACAGGTAACAGCATCCTCCTGCAATACACACAGGACCCCCACGGTGGTTATTAGGGACATTTCAACACAAGAAATTCATGAGTGACACACTATATATAATCACATAATCAGACTCACAAGTGTCAGCAAAGGCGGCATGTAGTGGTTTGACAGGGGTGTAGGTACCAGACTACAGAAGAGAAACTCCTGGATTCTCTGGCTTCGTCCTGTCCAGTGTGAGTACCTGCTGGTTTCTTTAGTGATGTGTTCCTCTCTGTGCACCAGTCCATGAATTACATTATTCATTCATTCATTCATTTTCTACCGCTTAATCCCTGAGTGGGGTCACGGGTGGGACCGGAGCCAATCCCGGCCAGCAATCGGGCGAAGGCGGGGTACACCCTGGACAGGTCGCCAATCCATCGCAGGGCTAACACATAGACAAACAACCACACACACGCACATGCACTCCTATGGGCAATTTAGAGACACCAATCAACCTAAGCTGCATGTCTTTGGACTGTGGGAGGAAGCCGGAGTACCCGGAGAGAACCCACGCAAGCACGGGGAGAACATGCAAACTCCACACAGAAAGGTCCCAGGTGGGGCCCGAACCCGGAACCTTCGCGCTAACCACTGTGCCACCGTGCTGCCCCATGAATTACATTAATAACATGTTAATTAATAAGACTTAGAGGTGCTGATAGGCTGATTTTGTTACCTTAGGACAGAGCCAGGCTGGCCATGTTTCCCCCGTTTCCAGTCTTTATGCTACACTGAGCTACTCAGCCGCTGGTTGCAGCTCAACACACTATATAATGTACATATTTTCTTCTATCGCAGTAGGAAAGTGAACAGAACTTTGACCTGTTTCATTATTAGACAGGCAGCGATGTGATGTTTTCGATGTTTTACTGGCGGTTTACAACAGATAATTGTGTCTGAACAGGCCCCTCAGGCTGGAACAAAAGAAAAGACCTTGTGCTGCTGGTTCTGTGCTTCAGGCCCAATCTCCCTCAGTGCCAAGATCGAGAGAAAGGGCTACACGCCAGGTGAGCCACGCCTCCTCCTAGTTCCTCCAGCTCTTTGCTTCTCTCTCAGTCCGACAGGCTGATCTCCTTGTTCTACTTTCCAAGGCGAGTCTATCCAAATCTTTGCTGAGGTGGAGAACTGCTCGTCCCGTGTAGTGGTGCCCAAGGCTGCTCTGTACCAGACCCAGACCTTCTTCGCTAAGGGCAAGGGCAAGCAGATCCAGCAGCTGGTGTCCAATCTGCGAGGAGACCCTCTGCTGCAGGGGAAGAGCCAGAGCTGGGAGGGCAAGCTGCTCAAGATACCTCCAGTGTCCCCCTCCATCCTGGACTGTCCCATCATCAGAGTGGAGTACGCGCTAGTGGTGAGTCCTGGACAGAGACTTAAAGCCTCTAGGAAATGAAGCTGTCCTCCAGATCTGACCCAGGGTCAATCGCATGACTGGACTGAAGTTAGAATGCACCAGTCTCTACCAGGATTGTCTCATTTTTACACAATATCTGCAGTGGACACATACACATTCAGTGGGCCACGATTCATCTGTCTCCATGGAAAGTGACAGTGATGATAGAAGACCAAGTACATCTATTATACTGAGTGAAAGGGTTAATGTTACAGCATTTCACACTGAAAACCCATTAAACTACAATGAAAACCAATATAAAATTAAATAACACACTGATAACCTGCATCAAACCTTACTAATAACATACAATAACATTCAGATAACTTCATAAATAACCTAACCACTTACTAATGAGCTGCCTATTTGTAACTTAATCAGCCTAAAACTATAAATACTAGGAAAAAACACCCAGAAACTACCTGCTACTCAAATCTACTACTGCTCAACATAATACTAATCTAGTCATAAAACCAGGAAACTACTAATAACCTGCTAAGAAAGCACTGAGAACTACTTAAAATTCCAAACAGGAGGTTTATCTGTTCTTTGCTCAGTTGTAAATCAACTGTAACACAGACAGAACCATTACTAGGCAGCACAGTGTCTGGACAAGCCTCCTGTGCTTATGTTGAATTTTAAATGTTATATTATTACCAGGAAATTGGTTGATAATATAATTAGCGATGGAAGCACACAGCGTTTCTTCCGCTCCTGTTTGCTGTGAGGCTGGCAGGTTGTCTAATGCCCCGTAGGTCCTGGGTACTGTGTGAACAGGTAGACTCCCAGATTGTTGGTCTGTTCCTCCACACACTCCCGTCTGCCTGCAGGTGTACGTGGACATTCCTGGTGGGCTGAATTTGTCCCTGTCGTTGCCGTTGGTGATCGGGACTATACCTCTACATTCCTGCACCACCCGCACCTCCAGCATCAGCAGCAACTGCAGCACTGTGAACTGGCTGGGCCTCTCAGACAGACCTGAGGGTATGCACCATGAGTACAGGCGTGTGCGTGTGTGTAGCAGAGTACACAGAGTTTTCTTACCCTCATGTGTTTATTGCTTTTGCAGCACCGCCGTGCTACAGCGATCTGGCAATATCAGAGTCTCACAGACGGGATTGTCTGCAGGGCTGTGATAGGTCTGACGGGGAGGGAGAGAACCAGGGATCTCTGCTAACATACATCACAGAGTTCAGATATCTGCCCCCGCCACTCTACTCTGAGGTACACTTCATACGTGCACACACTCACACACGCTGGCACAGTCTCACAGCAAACAGGCCACATTCATTTCTCATCTTTTTCTTTTATTTAACCTAGTAAAAGCCTTAAAAGACATCAGCAGAGAAACAGGACATTAAATAAAACCACCATAAACAGACGGGGACAAAACGTGCAGTAAAAGAGTGAAGACAAAATCCAGTTCAGTACCAATCAAACAGTAAAATATCCCACTATGATGCAGTAAACGTTTAGTACTGGTGCTGCAACTACTCCAAATACTCTACTCTCACGGTAGATGAATGTGCCATTTACTTTCTTCATTTATCTGTGTTTGATTTGGTCTAAAAAAATCACAAAACAATAAGTGCTCCACACAGTTTCCTGGAGGTGGAATCATTAAATGTCTTGTTTTGTCATTAACCAGCCTGAAACCCCAGAATATTAGTAGACTTTCATGTAAGACTAAGAAAAGCAGCTTATTCTCCCGTGTGAGGACACGAAACCAACATCTGCTTTTGGCATTTTTGCTTGAAAAACGACTTAGAGGCTTCAATGATGATCAAACCGGTGGCGAATTGTTGCAGCTCTACAAACTATCCTGCAAAAGAGTAAACAAAACACTTGGTTACAGTTTGATGGTTAAACCCAGTTAAGATGTTTAAATAGTTTGATCTTCCCAAAAGGAAAAAGGAACGATTAACACCAAACTCACTGAGCAGGACTCTCTGCTTCTATGTTCACCAGCGGCAGTCAGCTGGGACGGTGGCAGCTCCTCGTGCACACTGTTTCACGGTCTGAGCTCCTCATGCGCACCGTTTGTTTCATGGTTACAGCTCCTCGTGCGCACCGTTTGTTTGACGGTCTCAGATCCTCGTGCCCACTATTTGACGGTTTCAGCTCCTGGTGCTGCACACTGTTTGACAGTCTCAGCTGCTCGTGCACACCGTTTGACAGTCTCAGCTGCTCGTGCACACCGTTTGACTGTCTCAGCTGCTCGTGCACACCGTTTGACAGTCTCAGCTGCTCGTGCACACCGTTTGACAAAGGACCAAACATATTTTTTGTCCACTTTCATCCCAATAGCATTTTTAGACCTTAATTATAAACATGATAATATTAGATAAGGGATTCA